ATGAACCCTCGATTAGACGTCAAGGAAGTTCCAGACCAGAAAGAAGACTCGATATTGTTTGTAAGCTTGTAAATCTTTTGTACATAGATCATTATTTGTAATAACTGTTACTATAAATTATAATCTTTGTTTGTATATTAAAACATATTTGTATTAGAAATGAAACTGTGTGTATCAATCTTGTTGGCAAATATCATAAATTGGATACATATTGTCATTTATTTAACTACTAAATCTACAATTTAACTCAGTTTTAGGCTATTTGAAATTGTAATACGTAACAATTAGAACACCCATATTGGGATGTATAACTATTTGAACAGTATCTTACTAAACGCAATACTGCCGCAACCATTGATACGATGCCCAGGAATCTCTCTCACTAATCTAGAAAATTATTAACAAATTACATATATTCCAATCAATCTTACATAAGATAATTAAAAGAGGTCTTGGAAATATAAAAAACACATGTGCATCATCTGCTCTCCAGATAAATGGGTGAGAGAAAGGTAAACTGCAAAAGATGTACATCTTACGTGTGAGAGGTAAAGTTTGTTGTAACGCAAGACAGGGTCCACGTGTATTTGAACGATTCGTTACTAATTATATGGAATTAAAGACTTTCAAATTTGCTAAAGAAAATATAAAGAATATTTTCATTGGGTTTAATAATAGTCGTAGGCACAGTAAAGTAATAGTGAACACTAGCTACTAGCAAGAAAACTAATAGTCGTAGGCACAGTAAAGTAATAGTGAACACTAGCTACTAGCAAGAAAACTAATAGTCGTAGGCACAGTAAAGTAATAGTGAACACTAGCTACTAGCAAGAAAACTAATAGTCGTAGGCACAGTAAAGTAATAGTGAACACTAGCTACTACCAAGAAAACTTTTCGTCGACAATTACGGTAAATGAAATGTTTGTATTATATAGCCAAGATACCTTAAGTTATGGCTATTTAAGCGCAAAGTCACAGAAGTGTTTCTACAGAGAACAGACAATATGTGTTATGGATGATCTGACACCACTCTATTGTAGACCGCTTTTAGTACCGCTTTAATACGCATCGACTTTGTTATACAAATGTGCAATATTTACACGTCGCTTTCCTTTCAACTTTACTTATTTCTATCAGGAGTTGACCGCCACTAAATTTATACATAACAAGTATCTGTTTATCACTATCTCGATAATACACACGAAAATTAGTCTTAAAGCTAGTTTTATTTCTCATAGCCCGTCCTATATAGGCAAAATTGTTGCCTGTGCGAACTTTCTATTCTGCCCCCAGTGGCACAGCGGTAAGGTTGTGGACTTATAATGCTAGAAATCAGGTTTAGATACCTGTGGTGGGCACAGCACAGCTAACCCACTGTGAAGCTTTGTGCTCAACTACAAACAAACTTTGTATTCGGCACCTCTGCCCCTGTAAAATTGACAAGAACTACCAATTGAAATGTCTATTTTGGCACCCTGTGCAAGGGCACACGTCGCGTACCCCAAGGACCGGCCCTGTTGATTCTTACTAGCAGTATATATATACGTTCGCTTATCTCTGTACATTTATTTTTCAGCTTTTACATCTACTGGTTTTTTACTCATTGATCGCTTGTTTTTTATATATATATTTCTACAAACCACGCTAAACAAACTTGTTTTCCTTACATTAGATTAAAACATTTCATAATCACAGGGGTTCTTGTAGATTCCAAATCAGCTGAACTTAGAAAGGCGGCTGTTTTTCCAATATCTCTCTAATCTCTTAAATATTTAGTACTATAATACCTTAATTCCTTAAGTCGGTGGCTTTTTCACCTTTTTCAACTCTAACCGATTCTTACACCGTGATTTGGTACATTATGCTTTCCCCTTTCTTGAGACACCTTTGAAACCATTTTATTGTCCACCCATGTTCCTTACACACAGAAGAAATCATCTTACTGTGCACCCATGTTCTTTATACACCTACGAAATCACCTGATTGTGCACCTATGTTCTTCATATACCTATGAAATTATCTGACTCAACACCAACGTTCTCATTGTATCAACGGAATCACCTGATTGTGCACCCATGCTCTTGACATATCTACGAAATCATATGATTGTGAATTCATGGATTTGAAATACCTACTGAATAGCCCGACTGTGCACCCATATTCCTGACATATCTATGAAATTACCCGATTGTGCATTCATGGATTTTCTTTTTCTTTTGCATAAAAGTGCTTTCGGAAGTTAGCATTAATATACAGTAAAATATAAAGTTTGACGAAATCTGTGATCTAAGGTGTATAGCATAGTCCTTCATCGGTGTGAGGCAATACGCGTAATCACGGCTGCATACTTACCACGTAGGAAGCCAAAGATAGCACGTGACCTGGAATGTCGTTTTCATTAAATGCAACACATTGAACCTCCGCAACACGTGTGCTAATAGGCTTGTTTGTTTGTAGTTATGCATAAAGATACACAATGGGCTATCTGTGCTCTGCCCACCACCGGTATCGAAACCCGGTTTCTAGCGTTGTAAGTCCGCTGATATACCGCTGTGCCACTGGGGGGCGTGCTAATAGGAATATGTTATTAAAAATAATTACAAATGATTACATTTGATAGTTTGTCGTTAGGAGTTAAGAATTTACGTAATTATGAACGAGTAAACAATAAATGGCGACCTAGTGGAGGAAGAAAAAGAATCATATAAGTGAAGAACTACATTTTTTTTCTTAAAAACAATTATGTATATCCTTCGTTAGAAAGTTCGTCCACATCTAGTAGATAGATTCTACATTTATCTCTCTAAATATGTTCTCCATGTCGATAAATTCAGAACACTGGCTGCATTGTCCTTGTTATTCACTGTAGCGTGATAATTTCATATAGAAATAACCATTTCTCTGTTTCAAGGTTGAGGTCGCCTTATAAAGACAGAACCATGAAAATATGCCAAACATTATGAATACGTTACGATAAAAACACTTGCAAACAATAATGTAAACTTGAGAAAACTACACTGAAATGCTGAGATAAGTTATAATAAAAACCTAGTAAAACTGGGACACCAACGTAAACAGCAACATTCCTGTGCTACTGTCATACGCTGTGATATATAACATGGTAATAATTTAAAAATCAATGATAAGCATGAGGTATCATAATATATTACCTTATTTTATTTTAGAAATTTATTAACAAATTTCACATCAGCATAATAGAATGGCTCAATTCATTATTACTTTTAATTTACAGTGTATCAAGTTATATGAAAAGTTGGTTCATTATGAACAAAGAGTGTGTGTCACGACTTTTACAGAGGTACGTTCAAAATTTAATTAATAAACTATATTATCAATGTATACCAATAAAATTAGCATTAAAAAGTATTTTGTAATTCAATTTAAATATTATATAACTTTTAATTTTATAATTTCGAAAAGGAAATATTTAAATAAATTCTCAAGTTTCACTTCTCTATATCATATGACACCTCTGCGCTCCAAATCCCCATTTTAATTTTTTTCTGTCTTTCCAATGAATTACACACTTACACTAAAGATATCTTCATGCTAAATTAGAAATTATAGCCTCTAAGCTTCATGCTTTAATTAGATATATACGCAATAAAGTGAAACCAACTTGCCTCACCTCCTAGCATATCCATTCTTTAAAAAAAACATCAGTACTTCTTTCTGACATTTGCTATTAGATTGTTTCTAACCAATAAAGAGATAAGATTCCAATTTACTGAATACTACAAGATTAGCATTGTTCAACTTACATTGTTTTTCATTTTCTGCCATCGTCAGAGTTCAGCTTGAACTGATATTGAATTATTTTGATATATTTACAGCTGATTTAGAAGCCAGTTAAATTATAGTAGTTTTAGTACATTCTATATTTTGTGCATGACAATATTTTGTATTTGAAATTGTATATTTGAAGTTTAGAAAAATAATTTGTGAGATAACACTATCATTAGAAAAAAATTAGGCTATGTGTGCATCGAGAACGTATCGCTTAAAAGTACAAAAGCTTAAAAATGAACAAGACTCAAGGTGTAAATAGTATATTTTTGTATTCTATGTATTTTTTTGTTTACTGTAATAACACTAACTAAAATGCAAAAATTAGAAGCTTATTAGGCTAGATAAGGACACCTAAATTATTCGTGATGGAATACGCACATCGCAAAACGTGATTGTGTAATTTGAAGTGCGTGTAATATATAGCCCTATACTTCGAAAAGGTGTCCTTATAAGTGCAACTGTACAGAAATAGAACTAAACCAAAAGTCTGTAAGACTAAATGTTGTATAACAGTTGCAATGTGAAGTCATTTTAGAAAAAAATGGTAATTTAGATTTATTTTGTATTTTCCAGCTTTTCAGTTTACCCCGCAATGTTGATTTCGCTACACTTAGTGTTAGGGTATAGAAAATAACGGATAAATATAACATTTTACTAAAACAAACTTTAAATATTCATTTAGAGGTGCTAGGGGTCATGTAAATGAAATTTTAAAAGTGTAAGCTGAAAAAATATTTTCATTTTTATCATAAAAATCACATTTGAACTGACTCAATAAAGTTTTCACAAATCGGCAAACAAATCTTTAGCAAAAATACTTAATTAAAAATTTGATGTTTTATGTAAAACAGACTTTTAATGTTTACTAAAATTCTACCAAATTTCATGGAGACACACTCATTAAATTTATAGTTATAGTTTGTATACTTTTTTGGTTATGTGGTGGTTACAAGGTCGGTCAAATTGACCAAGCCCATATATTTTAAATATATAAAAGTTAGTTATATATCACTCAATTTTTGAAGAACATGAAAATGACTTACCGACCACTCCACCTCTGTTATAAACACATAATCAGTACCTTTTTCGTACCTAATAAGCTGTACAATCAAAACACAGTTATTAAGACAATTCTAGGAGTTGAAGGCATAACTTGGCAACATATATCAATGACTGAGGTGACATTTAGCTGAGTTAAGAAATAAAAGTAATAACAAAATGCAATATATTATAACTTTTTAGTAAATTTACGAATACTTACTATAGTTTTTGGCACGGTTTGGCTAGAAGAATCAAAGTCACCCATCAAGTATTCTGACACTCTGAAATGCCCAAAACAAAGGTGTTTAAAACGCTTAAAAATATAATATACCGCTAGTTGTCAAACCACGCCATATGAAAAGGACAGCTTATATCTTAATGCAGGGATTGAGTACATTATACTAAAACAATTTTTAATATGTGAAGCAGTATGTCACTTGACAACTACAGTTTGCATGGAACGTATAAGAACCACATTTTGACATTGTTTGGAGTTATGTAGGTAGTGTAATGCTATCAAAAATTGATTAGGTTTGGCAAGGTTACGTAACAGGTCTTTCGAATGCAAAATATTCATATCATCCAATTATAAAGATGTGGTCATATGATGGAGTTAAAGTTTCCACAATAGGTGACATTCTTTACACTTAATGGGATTGAAAAACATAGGAATATGGGTTAAATTGGGGAACCAGGACTATCCAGAAAGAGACATGCAATAAGTCATACCCCAGCTATGGTAAGTAATGTGTGGCATCTTGTAACAGGTGAGAATCAAATGAGAAAAATTATTAACATGTCCCAAGCAATACAGTATGTAATTTAATCATGAAAGATCTCCACCTCGAAAGTGTCACAAGTCACACGTACACTAGTTACTTCCATGATATATTTGTTTAATCATACCAATCATGCAACCAGATCCAGCACTTTTTGTTGAAATGGATGCTGGGAAATTGTAGTTCTCTCATGCACTAGATGAAATGGAAAGTATACAGAGAGCAGTGGTGTGTTTTGAACATGACAGAGTCTTTTTCAGTAGAAACTATGCTGCAGAGCTATTTTAAAGAAAAATGGTCATCAAATAGAACATGACCAGACATAGCAATACGGACTGTAACAACGTGTTGAAGCTTCAAAATTGTTTTAATATAACATATTCAACCTCTATACAACTAAAATATACAGTGACCAAAATAATTGAAGAAACACATAAATAATACATATATACATAAACAATAGTAGTTGGAACAAGATAATTAACTTATTAATAGTACAGAAGATTATTACAGAAAATACCAAAGAAAAAGTTAACAAAATTGTATTTTCCATGAAAACCATTTGCTTTATGCATAACATTCATTACACGTTGGTTTCATACTGCTATAGTACTTACTAATATATGATTGTGGAAAATTGTACAAAATGTGCTGTATTACTCCCTACAATCTAGCCAAGTACCATTACCACTTTTTGACCTTTTTAGTTTTACATAACCCGAAACAGCCCCAAGAATGTTCACATTGGGACTTTACACAGGCCATATCGTGATTGTGAATGTTCGTAGTAGGACTTTGGGCAAACTTTGTGTTTAAAATAGAAATAATTCATGGCTATTAAAAAATCCCCGATTACTTATATTGTAAAAAATAAAAGTATTTGGTGAAACTGCTTATGAAACAATCCCTTAGCATTTAGTAAATGACATTCAAATGGCAGTTGATTTGAGATGATGGCTCACGCCATGTCTTTGCCACACGATCTGAGTTTCCATATATAAACCATTTATTCTTGGTAACGCAGAAGCAATAGTAGGGTGATATGGGAAGAAAACATGTTTTAGCACAAACATACCTAGGAACTGACGTTTAGCTTCTAAAACTCCTAGTAACACATTGTAGTTTGACAACATGTATACTTTCCAAGATCTGAACGATGAACGAATTTCAGTCATTGCAGCTCTCCAAATAAGCATTTTGTTTTAAATCTAAATCTTTTGCAAATGATTTTGCAAAATCGTATAACTTATGACTGAAAAAAATAGTCACTGTCTGTTAATACATGAAAAGTGTTTACATATCTGTAAAACGAGTGATTACAGAGACACGTAGTATCAATCGACAATAATAAGACTGTAATGACTTCCTAAACGTTTTGATAATACATTTGGTTTTCATCAAGTGGTTCAATAAACACTCTGCGTCACACACGTAACGCATTTAAACTGCTGACAGCGGTGATAGGAAACTACATTACAAATACAAGACTGATATATGACATGGTACTGCGTCTAGACTGCTGTGGCTATACTGATCAAGTTGGCTGTAAGAATCCTAAAAATGTAACCTTAGAAGGCTACATTACGTTAGAAAATACGGCACCGCCTTCCAGTCTTTCCAAAAAGATTTATATATATACACACACACACACTCATAATTATACTGGTTTTAGACGTTATTCTGCTGCCCCTATAATTAATGCGTGTATATAGAAAATAATAATAATCAACGAAAACGATTAATGACTAAAATGAATGTATCGCATTCCGTATTTTGTGGCCGTGGATCGTTATAAGAGCGACGGTAAAATCTCATTATTTGATTTTAGGAGCCCACGAGTTGACGGTAAGTGCTATTGACTGGCTGATATCATATTAGTCTATCATTTCAAATTTTGAGACAGCTATCGCAGACAGCCTTCAAGTAGCTTTGTTCGAAATTTAACAAACAATAAAGCCTATACCGCTTCATACATATTAGCAGTGAAATAGATACAAAGAAATCCACGATGTTACAATTACGAAAACATGCCAGTAATTTTAAAACTATACTAAACTTAACAATATGAAATACATTGAAAACACCAATGACGTTAAAGCAACAGTAGCATGTCAAAGCTGCAGAAAAATATCAACAATGTTAGTGCTACGCATTAAAGATATCATCGTTGTTACAGCTAGAATGAACACTTGTCATCAGTGACAAATTTACATCAAACCCACTTTTCATGTTATAACGGTACAATCAAAATACTATATCTACAGTGAAAATTTGTACTAAAGAAAACGAGAACATTTTAACTCACGAACATTTATAGAAGTGCTGAGTGTTGCAGAATAAACCACTGATGATAAACATAATACTCAAGCACGAACAGCCGCCCACGTCTGTAGATAGGGCTCAAACTAACCATTGCAGTAACTTGCACGTTTACAATTTCAGTAATCAAACACCAGTAAGAATCCTTTGAATTTTATGTAAGTGGTTAGGCATGATAGTTACACACTACGTGGCTTTATTAGAGACGTCACGATAAAGCAAGAGACCATGTGATTTTCGAGTATGACTACGCAGATCCAGATATAATGATGACATAACAGCATGCCCACCTGCTTCACCAATTGAAAAAAACAGTATCAAATGTAGTTCAGCGTTTAATAACAAGGAAATACTGTGCACATTTTTTGTTCTACTTTAGCACTCTTATTTTTAAAGATATTGCACATTGATTAACGAGAAAGTCAGACTCTTTTACTTATATCTCCAATACTTAGCTGTAACAACTTCTTTAGCGGTCTCAGTTCTTATTACAATTGATCATATCAGGTCTGACTTTGGAAGGAAATTATTATATCCTGCCATAATTAACTGCACTATAAATTGAGACATAAAGAAAAGACATGACGAGATATTGCTTAGATAAACGTATTTCCATATAGATTGTAGATTTCACGTGACTCAGTTGTATGAGCAAACTTTAAAATATAACTTACACACTGTAAGATCCACTTTTCTTCACAATGTAATTAAAGAACAAATAAAGATATAAAATTCAATAGAAACATATTTCATTAACTAAGTTTAAAGAAAACAGCCACAACAAACACCAGGATACAATTAAAGATTTAACAAGTTTTGACAGACTTTTAAGTAATTAGTGAAATACATTTTATATTAATGCTATTAATGTTCATAAATACAACGTAAACTACAACTTACGGTAGTATTGTGCTGCACTTAATAATGTCGTGTTGTCTACACTTTGCAGAACAAAATTTTCAAAGGAATATTTTGATAAAATAGATTGAACAGTTATTCAAGTTCGATAAAAACATTATTCTCATGTTTTTATATATAGGCTGGATTCTTTACAGTAGGTGTCTGTGATTTTTTGTCGATAAATTTCAACAATAAACAAAGAGCACAGAGTCCACTTGTTTTAAAATAATATATTAAAACAAGTCAAATGTATATAGAAATGTTAGTTATACTGTTGGTTGTCACAGTTGTATCCAGAGCTTTAAATAATAGTCTCTTTTTCGTCAAAGAAAACAGTTATGTAAACAAACCTACGATAAACTATCGCTTCTAAAAATAACTAAATTAAACACTCGCACTACATAAACTATCTAAACCATAACACTTGCATGAGAGTTAAATTGAAAAAGTCGGGTATATCTCACAATTATTTTACTGTATTCCACCATAACCTTCAAAAATACCCTATCAAATTTATTAGTATGATTTTGACATTCATTTATCAGCTAGAGGTAAAATGGAATGGAAAAAACAGATACTCAAGTAATCACTTTTGAAAGTAACACTGGTTTCTTGTAGATTAACAGGTAAATTATTGAACATGTATGTAGACTTAAACGCTTCTCGGATCATTTGGCGACTTGCAGATTCTTTTGGAAGGGTGATTTGTAGAGTTATAAATAATTATTTAAGTATGTTAGAAACCAAATATTTTTAAAACTTACTTATCACTATCATTTTTTAAAGTTTAAATGTAGTATATACAAGAAACATTGGGGTTTATAGGAAGCAGAGTTCTTGACGATGCAGAAAAGGAAATCTCACCACATTTCCTCGAAGTACATCAGATGTCATTCCATCTCGAATATTCCAATGAAGCCAGGGCTTTCTCTTACATGCACGGGGTTTCTCTCGGCCACTCAGGTTCACTTTTTGGCTTAACTACTATATTGCTGTTTTGTGTACGTGTATATATATCGGTACTAGCCCTGTGCATCAACTGAAAGACCAACAGACTAAAAACAAAACAATTTATGTTAATTAATTTTACGTGAATAGCAATGGCTTCTTCGAAACAAGTTCTCAGACATAATATAATTGTCAGAGTTTTCCTATATTTAAGAATACACAGAAGTCATATAACGTAATTTCTAGCAGTTTCTAAAAAATAAATTAAGCTCACTTTGAAAGTAACAAAAGATAAACAGTAATGTACCACCAGCATAGAGTGCCTTAAACCAACG